TAGATACCGAATCGTTTCGAGCCGATAGTAGTTCACTCCTAACCAGACTGACAGTCATACTAACACCTTCCACATCTTGTATTATTATTTCGTGTAATATACCTTCGTTATTTCTACTCTAGTGTTCGTGTTGTTCTTCCTTGGTCCTAACCTGGACCATAACAATATATATCTATATATATATATATATATATATGTATTGGTAGCATGCTTCCATTAAAACATGTCTCATTAAATAATTTAGACAAGTTTTGTACACTTATTTCTAATAGGATCCTCTCGTAATTACGGACAAGTTTCTTAGTATCCTTATTAAAAGAAGAAAGAAAATTAACATGTTGATGCATATTCATTTTATTCCGAGTACTTTCGACATTAGCAGAAAGTTGTCATCGGGGTTTTGTTTTTCTGAAAGAAAAAATTGTTGCGTTCAGCATTATTCTACGACAAAGTAAAGTGAGTGAAAAACGCTATTATGTACTGCACATTTTTTAAATTTTATCATTGGAAACACGTACGAACAACTAATTTAGTTACCTTCCTTGATGTTTGGACAAAACATGTCTAAATTATTTAATGACATGTCTTAATATATATATATATATATATATATATATATATATATATTATATATATAAGTAAAAAATCGGGATGACCCTACATGGGACAATTTTGTATTTTAAGTAAAAGATAAAACTTCGAGAAATTAATATATATTTGCTTTTAACAAAATAAGCACTAAACTATAAAATTATCATTCAACAGGATCATATTCTGTTTTCTTCAATAAAACCAACAATAAAAAGGACGTTTACTTTTTAAGAATGTAGTGACAGTTTCATGTGATACTACAAAGATTCGAACATGGATCATTTCATCGAAAGTAATAAAGAAGATCTTGAGAGGGGAAAAAAGAGACAGGACAATAAAAGAACTAGTTTCAAGGATACGGAAGATGGCGACTGACCTTACAAGAGTTCAGCAAGCGAGAATTGCGAGGAAAGAAACAATTAGCATAAGACATGTGGTTACATTGTGGCGTTTCCACCATTCACATTATGAAGCCTAACTGCCAATGCAGTAATGCCCTTATATTCGCGAAGTCGAGAGAAGGAAGATAAAAGCTCACCAGGACAATCACCGTGTAAATATTTATAGAAGAAGCAAAAATACGATAGATTATGTTAGTGGGAAAGTGACTGAACCTAAGAAAATAGCTGAGACTCTTCTATGGATTTTGTGATAGTTATTTAACTATTTTTGATTGGTATTGTATAATGTTTTATATATTTTACCTTGAACCCTGTATGTTTTAGTCCGTTGGCATCTTTGATGCACATTTTCTTATTTAATATATATTAAAATAAATAATAAATACCTTTTTTTATTAAAATAAATAATAAATACCTTTTTGAGGACGGTCTTAAGTAAAACTTATGGTTAAGATTTCCTTGAAATATTTGTGCAAAGAAATCACTTCTAATGCTTACAGACTTGTTGCTGACTCGGGTACTTTGATACAGATATGAAGTTATTCCAACGTAAACTTAATAAGTAGCAATACCAATGAGTGCCTCAGAATGGGGTAATGGTTAACGAGCTAGGTACCGTGAAAGTATTTGTAGAAAAGACAGAGGGAAGCGACGGCATGTCTGTGAAAAAATGACTGTAGACGAGATGCCAAATCAGAACCAATCACATTGCATATCCGTCTCTGGATTTTGTGGAGGACCTTGAGTCGAACACCGGGGGATCCAGACCATATAGGGCAGCAGTATTCCATGCAAGGGCGAATGGCTGATTTATAGAGTTGAAGGATGGACTCGGGCGAGAAAAACAATGAATGAATGTCGAAATTTGTCAAATTGCTGTTTCTATGTGTTTCGGTTAAACTATAATCTATTTTCAAGGATTTTCATTATACTATAATAATATAGAAAATGCACGTTCAAGAGTGTCGAAAATGTAATCATATTCTTAATGCAGACTGTAAACTGTGATCTTTTTCATAATTGATGTTAATAAATGATGTCATATATATTATATATATAGTGCTGTTCGATAAAATGACTCACCTTATCCTTTGAATTTAGCTCAACTTTCGTTTCATCGGAGAAGAGAACATTCTTCCAGTCTTCTACGGTGAAATTTTTGTAATAGTGAGCCCATTCAAGTCTTTTGGCTTTGTTGGCTTTGCTTATTAGCGGCTTAAACCTTCGTGTACAAGATTTGTAGCCTTGTTCTAACAGCCTCCGACGGACTGTTGAAGAGGCAAGACTAACACCTTGCTCTTCACTTAGACTGGCTGCAAATTCTTGGCTAGTTATTGTCCTATTCTTCGCAACTTCTCTCTTGATTACCCTGCCAGTTCTATCATCAATCTTTTCCTTTCGTCCCCTTGTTTCCTTCCTTGGAGCAGGGGTGGCATCATTATGTGCCCTAAGCACTCAAGAGACAGTTGATTGCGAGGTTATAGCAATTTCTGCAATTTCTCTCGTAGACTTGCCTGCTTTTGAGAGGACAATAATAGAGGCCTTAAGTGGTTCTGATGCGTGTTTGTACCCTTTCATGTTTAGTGACTTGAGTGGCTATTTCAAGATGTTTTATACTGTGTGAGGTTTTCTGGAATGTTCTGGAATGGAATACTCTAGATTTAATTTAAGCTGTTCTAGAATTCTCTAGAATATTTTTCTGGGTGTATTGTAAAATAGTTTTCAATATTTTGTTAAAAGCTCCTTAAATTTACCAGTTTAATCATTAGAATGCGATATCCGAGTCACTTTTTTTGCACAGGGTTTTTTTTCCTGAATCTCATTTATATCCAAATTTATAATTATCAATAGAATACCTTAGGGTGAATAAACTTTTTTCCTAGGTGGTCGGGAAGAGGTCTTTATATTAGTAAGATTAAAAATAATTTAACCCCAAAACAATAGACAAAAAATATTTTTAGTAAAAAAAAAATCAGGTGAGTCACTTTTTTCGAATATCACTGTATGGAATATATATATATATATATATATATATATATATATATATATATATATATATATATATGATTAATTGAATAATTCCAGGAAGGATATAAATCCCGAGAGCTCAATGTAGTAAACAGAGCAAGTATTACTAATTAATAAATCTTGACTTCAGAAAGCCATGGTAATATTTTATTTTCGTTATGAGACCAATAAAATTTTGTTTCACTTCGTCAGACCTTGCGTAAGGACTGACGAAACGAAACTGAAATTTAGCGCTCTTGAGAAATATAAAATATTACCATAGCTTTCTGAAGTCTCCGATTTGTTAATTACATATATATATATATATATATATATATATATATATATATATATATATTAATTAGCTACTATATTTTCATAATATTCACTCCCCTCTAACTCTTCAAATGTTGAAAGTATAGCTAATTCTAATTTCTATTCTCCCCCTCTATTGCCTCTTTACACTATATTAATTATAATTTATAAACTTTTCCCTCCTCTAAGCTCTCCATCCCCGCCAACTCTCTTTCTATAATCCCTTACATCCTTTTATCTATATATTTTAAATTTATTTTTAAACCCCTTTTTATTCCTTTTTTTAATTTTAAATTAATATTTAATTCTTTATATAACCCTAAATTAATGCCATGAGGTTAATATTCGGGGTTAATTTCATAAAATTTTTTCCTTTTAAGACAAATACCTTGCACTTTTCTGGCCCCTCTCTTGTGCCTTTCGTCTGACTGAAACATTGAAATGGTTAAATTCTGTATTACTTTTTCGACTGGTTGTTTTGTTTTTTTAGCTTTTACAGTTAAAGTTTATTTAACACCCCCACCCCACCCCAACTGCATAAACACGAAGTCAGTCCACAACGGGGATGATAAGAGAGACGACCGATGTCTTCATCTGCCAAAATAGGCTGTTCCTCATATGAGGTAATTTTGGATTTTATTGTTTACAGTGGAGTAATAGAAGCGGCTCGGATTAAGGAATCGGAGAGCCGAGTTCGAATTCCAGTCGAATGCATTACATTCACTTATGTGCTAAGACCCTTGGGAAAGGTATGAATCCGCTTCTTGTCCCCGCCAGCTACTGGTAAATAGCAGGTCAGACTGGGTTCTATAGCTTTGGATGGCAACTGGTCTAGGAGAAGGACAACTCTGAATTCAAAACCTGCGGAGCGTCGTTTGGTGACCTTGTGGTACTTAGTGCATCAGGTCTCTGTATTCGGCACTTCAAAAAGTGTTAATGGTCCTGCACAAAGCCTTCATCACTATAATCAAATCATATGTGCTGGTGTCTGGGGTGTCGGTTCCTAGGGACTGAGCTGCTTGACCTTCATAGTCGAATACGACGGAAAGTCCCCAATATATATATATATATATATATATATATATATATATATATATATATATATATATATATATATATATTCCATAAATGCAAAAAGTACACTCTGGATAGGCTATCTCTCACTCTCAATTTTTCACAGACACACAAACACAGACACACACCTAGAAGCAAACGTAAACATATGTAAGTATATGTATATTCGTGATGTATGAACAGTATTGTATGTAAGTTTGTTTCATAAATGCGCTCTGTAATTGAACTACGCCTTTTTTTTAAAGTCATATCAAATTGAAATAATGTTTCTCTTTAAAACCGACAGGAAATCGAGAAATATACTTTAGAAATCTAAATTCTTCCAAGCGCGTTTAATGTGTATGCTTTATCTTAGTTACTTTTACAGATTTTTTTCTGCACATCCATCGTCAATCACTTTTAGAAACCTAATTATATATATATATATATATATATATATATACTTGTGCGTGTTGCTACCTATGCGTGTATCAGCAAGACAGAGTGTCTGTCCTAAAGTTGAATATACCAGTAAACTACAAAAGAATGCAGTTTCCACAAAAGATATTCAAAAATAGCTATGAATAAATTACAGAAATGTTATAATTTTTTACGAATCAAATCCGCCAGTATACATTTACGCGTACATATAAAAATTAAATGATCTCATCAGATCCGACAACGTAACAGATAGTTTTGATTTGCTTGCTCATCCCTCTCTCTCTCTCTCTATCTATCTATCTATCTATCTATCTATATATATATATATATATATATATATATATAAAGAGAGAGAGAAGGGTGAGAATGTAATACAAAGCTACATATCAGACTAATAGTGGGTCAACAATGATTAATAGGGTTTTATGCATATATAGTTGAGGAATTGGAGAGGCGAGTTCGAATACCAGTCGAATCCATTACATTCACTTACGTGCTAATAAATACCGTTGGGAAAGTTAATAATCCTCTTCTTTTCCCTCCAGCTATGGGTAAATAGCAGAACAGACTGGATGTCAACTGGTCTAGAGGAAGAATAACACTGAATTCAAAACCTGAGGAGGGTCGTTTGGGGTACCTTGTGGCACGTAGGGCACCAGGTCTCTGTATTCGGCCCTTCAAAAAGTGTGGATGGTTCTGCACAAAACCTTCATCACTATAATCAAATCTCATGTGCTGGTGTCTGGGCTGTCGTTCTTAGGAATACGACGGGAGAGTCCACCACACACACAAAAAATATATATATATATAGGGATTTTCAAAGCATAGCTTAGATGGGGCACAAGGCCAAATGTATGAGGCACCCAATGGGGATCGAATTCACGACTTAGTCGTAATTGTTCTAGTGAGACATGCTTGCTAACCGTTACGCCACGCCGAGGGGCGTAAATGACAGTTTAAACCCGGTAGTAGGTGTCTGTTTACAGTACCAGGTGTTCCAACCGGCCCCCATCTAAGTACTAACCTGGCTCTACGATGTTTAACTTCACTGATCGAACGGGAACCGATGGGGCGTGGACGTAAATATAAATATAATATACAAAAATATAAAAATATGTGAAATGCACATGTAGTGTTGGTGTTATTGAAAAATTACCAGATGTCATATAATAAAGCTATAAAATATATATATTTAATAAATACACATATTATCCCACATCATCACATATATAGCACCTGAAATTGAGTTTGGCATGAAATTCGTGTCGTGCGAAATGTATGGGACAATATGTATGTTTATTATATGTGTGTGTGTGTGTGTGTGAGACAGAGAGGGAGACAGAGAGAGAGAGAGACTAAGTGAGAAAACTTTTAAACTTCGCATTTCGCCGACGCGATTTGTATCAGGTTCGGATTCATCAGGTCGCAATGAAAGACTAAACACTTTCAAATGAAAATGCGTTGAGATTTTTTGACGAGAAACTGGGCAATAAATAGAATGACCATATCAGATCCGATGAAGAAAAAAAGTTCTTGTTTGCTTATTCATCTCTCTCTCTCTCTGTGTCTCTGTCTGTCTCTCTCTTTATATATATATATATATATATATATATATATATACGGAAAAGGTTATGCTTGATCCAACGAAGGAAAAATTTATATTTAAAATAAAAGTGAGAAACAGCAAACGTTTTTGGTTATAATGTGGATTTGTTTTACTCTATACATTATATTTTATTTTTCATATTTCTGCTACACACGTTTCCGGTCTCATGACCTTCTTCAGGAAATAAAAGGAATAAATTTTTAAAAGGAATAAATTTTCCATATGTTCTTTTTATTACTTCCCCTGCCCACATCATCTGGTTTCAGTTGTTACGATGCTTGAATCTCTTTAGATTAACGTTTGCTCTAACTATATATTTGGTTTTTCGATTAAAATACAAAATAAATAATAAAATATATGCATATTTTCCTCAGCTTCTTCTTGAAATAATTTTATAATATTTTAAACTTAATACAAGTTAAATTTAAAATTGGTAATTTTATTTTTAATATTATAGTAAAATTCAAAATTAATCAGATTGATTTCTATTTTAGTCTAACATTAACATTAAGGCAGGTTCGTTTGTCAAGTTTTTTGTATTATCGTATACTTGTATTTTGATTGGTCATTTTAGCTTATGTAACAGCGTTTCCCCTATTTAGGGGTGTTTGGTTGATTTAAACATTTTTAAAACTCTTTATTCGACATTCAACACCGTATATAATATACGATAAAAATATAGTTCTAAGATGTTCTATATTTATGCCTCAAGGTGCTCAATATCAGGTACAGAGCGTATGTAATTATAAAAGGGAACACTAACGGCAACAGTCAGTGGCAAAAGTAATGTTTAAACACGATATTCGTGGCCTGAAGTTTGCATTTGAGCATGAAATAGACTGTCTGCGCTGGGTGTTAAAATTAGTATTAAATTTAAATATATATTATATTTAATAATTAAATTTTAGTTATATGGAAAAAATAAGTCAGTTGAAACTGACGCCAAGAGGATATGGATCACGCTTACCTTATTGAAATAAATGATTATGTTTATAATTATGTGTAAATATTTAAATAAAGATCATATATTTCAACCTTTATATATAATGTTTAAACCATGCCCAGATTGTGAATACTCAGATATATATATATATATATATATATATATATATATATATATATATATATATATATATATATATATATATATATATATATATATATATATATATATATAAAAAAAGGCTTAAACACTAATATTCCATGGTCATAATTTATTCCATTGAATCGTAAATACGATCCAATTCATCAGACCTACAAATTCAAAAAGAAAACAGAAAAAACAACTCCGGAAATAAAAACAGAATTTAGAGAGAGTGTGATGTGTATGCACCTATGTATATATATTTATATATTATGCATATGTACGTGTATATTTACCACTAGTATTATCTATCTATCTATATATTTACCACCAGTGTGTGTGTATATATATATAATAAGTAAATATGAATAACTTATATTTCATATATATATATATATACATATATAGAGAGAGAGAGAGGGAAGGGAGAGGCACGGTGGTGTAATGGATAGCGGCTTGAATTGAGCAGTTGCAGAGCCGAGTTCGAATTCCAGTCAAATCCATTACATTCATTTACGTGCTAATATTTTTGGGAATGGTATGAATCCTCTCCCTCCAGCTATGGGTAAAATTGCAGGACAGACTGGGTTCTATAGCCTTGGGTGGCAACTGGTCTAGGAGAAGTATATATATATATAAAATGTTATTATTTAAAAATATGTATTCATCGCGCCACAGAAATTACCACGTTTCGGAACCAAACTTAAAGTTTTTGTTCCATTCTCAAGCGATATTGAATAATTTCCGAAAAAAATAATTTACTTTTTTAAGATAAATAGTATTATATAATTTAAGTTGATGGGGGAATGAGACTAAAAAAATTTAAGAAGGTGTTGGTTTTTTCGATGAATCAGGATACAAGTATAATTTAAGATGGTTAAGTAAGTATAGGTTACGGTTAGGTGAGGGTTTATAATTTCTGTCTGTTGATACTGGCTTCCTTACATGAGAATGTGTCAACACTGTCTAGTTTTGTTTATTTTTTTTATTTAGGAGCATACATGAGATAAATTATTTTTATTTTTTTTTTTTTTAGTGGCATTTTTATATTTATTTTATATTTTATATTTTCTTAAAAGCGGCTTTCAAATATGAATAAGTTATATTTCATATATATATATATATATATATATATATATATATATATATATATATATATATATATATATTACGATCTAGAACACTGTATTTATTATATTTATTAGTCTACTAGATACAGTATTGTTAAAATAAAAAATATTAGAATTTACTTACACATTTTCTTACTTTCTTATTTATGATCAAATAATAGATATATAATTATGCAAATATTTTTATAATTAATTATTTTTAAAGTAAACATAACGCAATGTCTTCAAAAAACGTTGTATCTTTGATTTAATGAATCTTTATTTTCAGAAACTTAATAATAATATATAAATTTTCATGTAGGCACAAAGGACATGGGTCATTTAAAGATCTACAATTTCTCATTTTATTAATAATAATTTCAATTTTACTGTGGGTGTTTTGTTTCTTTTAAATTAAACCTAACACACACACACATATATATAATATGGAATCGGCTATTGCTCAACATTTAGTTGAGAATATAGCTTGTGCCAAGTTGTATAAAAAAGAGTGGTTTAGAATTATTCATACAGCCGATTCAATAATCATTTGAAGATTTTGAGTCGGTCTGTATAGGATTTAGAAAACCTTCTCTCTGCCAGCAGAAAGAATTTATAAGGTCTCTAAATCTGTTGGGGGATATTTTATTTTAACTGTCCCTCGCTATTTATTTACACGATAACCCTTCCCTCGTTACAAGTATATATACTTGTTTTGTTATTTCAGTGTGTTTCCCCTCTTTTTTGCTCTTCAATATCGCTATTATTCATTTCGCTAATCCAACGATTGTCTCCTGATGAGATGTTGGCTGAAATGGTTCTAGAGACTTTAATATTAAAATCAATGGTTTCTAGTTTTAAAACTATTTATAAATTTTGTACCTCCAAACATTTGTATATATATATATATATATATATATATATATATATATATATATATATATGTATTTGTGTCAGAGCTTCACCACTGAGCCATCTTCACTCGACAGAATGAGTCAGCCAAATCTAGCGTATGCTTTTTCGAAACGTAAAGAAGCGCCAAGCAACCATAGTGCTCCATTCATTTTACTGAAGAACTTCGCATTTACGCAGGTGACCATTGTTTTTAGAATTAGTTTGTCCTTTAACAGTGCCTAATTGAAAATATATTTTCTAGAGCTACATTATGTCATTAGCAGACAGTACTGTTTCGAGTATCACAGCTCCTCAGTGCGACTAGACAACCGAATGCCTCAAGCCCGGTTCGAAACCCAATCGATTTAATGTCATTCAGAGCTTCTACCAGAGAATTATTTAGCCCAGTTTATGCATTTTTTAAATAATTGATCACCTGTATAAAAATCGATGAATTTTGTTAAAATATTGAAGTAGGGTTTAATTCAGTTTATTTTTT